ACTTGGTAGCCCAGGCTGGCCTCGAACTCACAGAGATCCGCCTGGCTCTGCCTCCCGAGTGCTGGGATTAAAGGCGTGTGCCACCACCGCCCGGCTTAAAGAGGATTTCTTAAGTAGACTGTAAATAGTGAAGTGACAGGTTATTTAGGGTCTCTCATTTGATTCCTCCTAGTGCTAAATTAAGAAGGGCACAAAGATGATGTTCTCCACTCTATGAGAAACTGGGCACTAGAGAAATCAGTGGCTTATCCAAGATCACATCACATTGGAATTGGCTTCAGGATGCCAACTCCAGTGCTCCTTAAGCTGAAAGGAAGTGGGGGGGGGGGCGGGGAATGTTCCAGAGAAGCCACTGCCCACCATTATTCCTTTGAGCATCCAGAATGATGGAGGATAATGGCAGTCCTTTAGTGTCATTTGATATTTCCTGCTGCTGGAAACTATTGCTCTGCCCATGAACAGCGGAGGAAATTAGATCCGTAGTGAAGTTGCCTACCCAGGATCATCACCACTCACTTACAAGGTACCGATGGGATTTGAACCCAGACCTAAAGCTCCACCACTAGCTTGGAAAACACATTAGGAACAAAGGGCAAACAGTGGCCAGGAGTGCTGCAGACCCATAGTCTTCCTCTTGTCTCATGCGTGGGTTAACTGGTTGGCTCCAGGCCATAGGATCTGAGGCATTTGGGGGGCTATGGGTCAGTCGCCCTCTGCTGGTCAGTCTGTGAAACACCAATTAGTTCTCTAGCTTTTAGGAACCCTTCTATTCCTTGAGCACCTACTGTGTGCCAGGCACTGCACTGAGCTTGGAGGTAAGAAGACTTGGTCCTTACCCCAGGAAGCTCACAGTCTTAAGAGGAAGATGTTCCAGAAACCAGGCAGCTCAACACGGTGATAAGAGCTATGCTGGGATGGGAGGAGGATTGCCCAGCATGCAGAAGTACCGCCACTCTGAGGTCACCGCTAAGCCTGACCTCTGAGAACACTGTGCCAGGACCTGCTTGCGTAGCTTCCATGTCTCCATGGAAGAGGTGCTCGGTTGCTTTTAGGATATTTACTAACCTGCATTGCTCCAAGTGCTGAATGTTCTATCTGGGGCAAGAAGAGCAAGAACTGGTCTCTGCTTCCCTCATTAGGGTCCCTGGACCAGTGCTTGGCTCCAAGGGCCCGTCTGTGCCATGTGAGAGTCACACAGCCAATGTCCAGCTAGAGAAGAATACAAGGCCAGGTGGGAGGGCATCACCAGACCCCAGCATGACAAAGGATATGGCCTAGGAAGTGGCTCTTCTATGTGACCCTAGGAAAGTCACTCAGCCTCTGGTCTTCAATTTCCACTTATGGAGAGAGGAAATAGTGTCATCTCAGAGAACACAATTATATCAAGGGACCACACCAAGCAGAGTGGGGATTCTATAATCAATAGCTGTCATTTATTACCCTAGAAGCAGGTGGGCCCCAGGCCAACTGGAAGCAGGGGAAATGCAGCTCAGATTTAAAGAGGAATCATTGGGCGTAACTGAATTCTCTTAGGGACACTTAGTTAAGCAGCTGGGAGGGCTGGAAAGGCTGTTCTGGAGGCCCTGCCCGCTACAATTGGTATTGGGCTGGCAACAGGAAGCCAACATCCTTTCTTGGAGATGTTTTTCTGGAGAACCGCTCCCCACTACAGGCAGGAGGCTTTCGGCTTCTCCCGCTGTTCAAGAATGCATCTAAGGCCTCCAGAGGTCCAGAACGGCGCTAGGCTGGGAAGAGCAGCAGAGACGAGGTATTAAACAGGATGAGAATTTAGCAAGGCATCCAGGAGGCGGCGCCCTCCAGGAAAAAGATCTTAGAAAGGAAGGTCCCCCAGGGAGGCATCGGCAGGAACAAGACGCAGCGGCCAGTCTTCTTAAACCCTAGTGTTGACAGAGAAACAAGCTGCCCTCCCCCTATCCTTTTGGTCAACAAGGCCGAGGATGCTCTCCCCTCCCACTAGCCCGGCCCTCCACTGCTCCGCCTCGCCCACAGGTGCTCAGCGTGGCCGTGACGCACACCTTCCAGATTGCCAAGGCCCGCGCTCAGCTTGGCTACGCGCCGGACAAGTTCAGCTTCGCCGACGCAGTGGAGCGATATGTGCAGACCACGACCCAGCAGCCCCGTGGCTTCACCACGCTGACGCTCCTGCGGCTCCTGCTCCTGCTTCTGGGGCTGCTCGGCCTGCTGGGCCTGACCCTGCACTTCCTAGGGCTGCAGCCTTTGCAGACCGCAGTGCAACGCCTGTGATCCCGCCTCCGATCCCCGGCCACGCCCACGTATGGCTCTCTGAGCTTGTACCTGGCTTTGACCTCCTGAGTTAGGCTCGCCCCTGAGTCCTGGCCACGCCCCCATTCCTGGCCACGCCCCGGCTCCACCCTCTAGCCTTGTATTAGTCCTCGTGTTTGGGCTCACTTTCTCTGCTCCGCCCCCCGAGTCTCAGCCACATTTCCCTACCTTTGGCTTCCTAATCCAACTTCTTATTCTTCTCCGGGGCTGGGCGAGGCGGTTGATGAAGTCCCAGCCTACCAGCCTGCTTCTCCTTCCCAGCCATTTCCAGGCTCCTAACCAGTCCAGCCCTCCCCTCCCTGTATCTCCCGGTTTTTCCTGCTCTGGTTTCGCCCCTTCTGCCTCCACCCGTACGCTGAAGCTCCAATGCGGTTGCTTCTTTAGGGACAGACCCTACTCCTCCCTCTCGCTCTGTCCCCTTCCAGCCGGGTTTTCGCCGTTGGTCCAAGTGGATGACGTTCTGATTGGTAGAGTCTAGAATTGGACCTGTCTTCTGCTGCTTCTGGGGACAGTGGGACCTCCTCCCTGCCATGGCTTCTTTGAGTTTGTCCTGATTTTGACACAGATTTGTGTGTTGATTAGCTGGGGAGGGATACCCAGCCCAGCTTGGTGTCTTTGGGTTCTCGGTTAATGAGTGGAAATGACTCAGCACAGTAAAAGGTTTCAGTACCAGAAGGGGCAAGGGGAAAAAAATTGCAAAAGAAAATTAAATGTCTCATAAAGGTACCAATGTAATAGACAAAATAAGAGTTTGGCTGATATTTTATGATTTAGAGTTGTGTTCTTGTGTGTGGAATCAGGATGTCGTTCCTGAAGCTGTCTACCCTATTTTTACAGACAGCATCTTTCTCTTTACTTTGGAGCTTGGAGTGGCGGGGCTGGCCAAGAAACCCTAGGGGATCCACCCTGTCTCTTGTTTCCCTGCCCTGGGATTGCAAGCATATGCCACCACACCCAACATTTTATATGGGTGCAGGAAGTCGACTTCAGGTCCCCATCCTACGGAGCCATCTCCCCAGCATCCATATTTTATGACTTAGTATCATTTGTAATTTTTTCTCCTTTTTAAAATGTATTAAATTTTTTCATTTATTTTACATCCCGACCGCAGTTTTCCCTCCCTCTTCTCCTCCCATTTCTTCCCCCTGGCCTCCTTTCTGCCTCCTCCCCCCATCCACCACTCCTCAGTCTCCCTTTCAGAAAGGGTAAGGCCTCCTATGGGAGCCAACAAAGCATGGCATATCAAGTTGAGGCAGGACCAAGTTCCTCCCTCTGCATCAAGGCTGGGTGAGACAACCCAGCATGGGAAATAGGTTCCCAATCATTTGTATTTCTTGATGGGTAGTGGTGCTCACTATCACCTTTATGAGTTTAAGGCCACGGTCAGGCGGTCCTGCTCTCCACAGAAACTGCACCTCCCTGCCATCATGTTGTGGATCCCAGAATAACAGTGTGTAAACAGATCTAACACATCTATCTATCATCTGGTGCACACGTGGCATTAGCTGAGCAAATACTGTGGACCCTAGCAGAGAGCAAAGTAACTGCTTAGCCTCCGGTGGATGGAAGAGAAGGCACTCACTAGTCAGTCTTCATAGGTGGTGTCCTCACAGTGTGTGTCCCTGTCTGGTAAATAAGGAAGACTGTTGTGTACGAGTCTTAAAATACACTCGGTAGAATTTTATGTGTGTGTATGTATTTTTTAAATCAATAGTAGTCATTTCTATCTGTTTAGTGCCCAGCACCTGCAGGAACTTGCATTTATACGGCCTTATTTATTTCTTTATTAAAGCCACTCCTACAGGAGGATTTGTCACTGTCGATTTAAAGAAGAGGCCAGGACTAGCTTGAAGTATCAGAGGATAAGGTTACTGCACTGTAGCTGTGTTTCCCTAGGCCCCGTGGGGAAGGTACCACTTGGTTATGTCGGTTGCAGCCTGACTGTTCCAGTGTCTGGGGTTGAACTCTGGGGTCTACCTCCCTACAAATCTCAAGCCATTTGAGGTGGCCATCATTCTTAATCTAACTGTTGCTATGATAAAATACCCTGATAACAACTTAAGGAAGGATTTATTCTTCAAGGCATTTTCATCCGAGAGTTTTGTGATATCTACTTCCAAAATGTCTCTTTCCTACCCCTTCGATTCTAACTGCCACCACCGTGTTACAAACCACTGTCCTTTTTCTGACAGGACTGAACACCCCGGCTGGATTTTCTGAATCCCAAACTAGAACGTGCCACTCACCAGCCTGAAGCCCGCTCATGGTTTCCCATTGCCCTCTGAGTTCAAAGCCTGAACCACGTTCATGGCCTCATCTCCTGCTCCCTGTCCACTCTTCCTCCACGCGGTGACCCTAACTGCTTCCACAGCCCCTCCAGCTCTCCAGGCTCTTACTGGCCTCTGGGTTTTCTGGAAATCTTTCTCTCTCTCACCTTCAGTGTCCAATTTCAGGTCCAGCTAAATGTCACCTCTTTGTTCCCAGAGCCAGGTAAGGACACTGCAGTGCAGAGCATGACTCACGTGTAACTAAATGATGATGTTCAGCATACCTGTCTTGTTCTCTCCTGAAACCTCACCGCGAGCTGGGTTTCTGGCTCAGAGTAGTTGTTGGATAAATAAAGCATCGGGGGAGCCACTAAACCAAGCCTACAGACCACGTAGGAGAATAAATAAAGCTGAGACCTCAAGATTGGCGTTCCTACGAGGAGTTTCACCCCAGCAACCCAGCCCTCCCTAGTCACCTGACATCTTTCCACCAATAGAGATTTACGGGTGTCAGCCAGACCCGGAAGGGCCCGTCTCTAACTCAGGTCACCCATAACCATCTTTGCCCTTGGCAGAGACCCTCGAAGTATGAACTAAGACCCAAACCCCCTGTTGGGAATTTGCATGGAGTCCCAGACCCTAAAAGGGGGGAGGGGTTTTGTTTTGCTTTGTGTTTTGTTTTTTAGGGAAGAGAATTGGTCAAGAAAGAGGTTTGTGGACCAGGCTAGAGACGGGGGGACTTCTTCCGTTTTACTGTTTTTTCTTCATCTTATGCTTTTAAAAATGAGTTTCAGAGGGAACGAAACAGAGAGGACAGAGCCAAGAGCATACAAATGGAGAAAATAAAAGCTAGGGATGTGGCAGCGGTGGGATTCGAACCCACGCCATCGAAATGACTGGAGCCTAAATCCAGCGCCTTAGACCACTCGGCCACGCTACCTCCCGCTCGTAAGCGGCGCCATTCAGAGTATATCAGTGTGATGACGTAGTGCGTTGTGCCTTGCAAGTCCCGCCCCTGGGTGTTTCTGAGCCTAATGTGAACTCAACCTTTCTGCACGAAGTGGCATCCGCCATCGGTCTCCCGACGCTCTGGTTTCAGGCAGGGACACGAAGTAGGAACGTACCAGTAAAAAGGAAAGGACAGTCCCCGCGTGTCAACCCTAGATCGCAGCGTGGGAGTTTTGCGGGTTTTTTTTCCATGGACGTGATGCTGCCTGCGGACACCTGGGGGCAGTGCTGCGCCGCCGCGTCCCGCCGCTCGACTGGGCGGGGCCGACGCCCGGGAACCCGGCTTGCACCTAACTCAACCTGCGGCCTCAGGCACTCCTACTTCGGTCAGGGCCCATGGCCGCGCAGTGTCCAGCACCCGCGCTGGATCTTCTGTTGATGTGGGCTCCTGCGTTCTTATTACCACATTTTACAGAGCGAGGAAAAGACCTGACAATTTGTGCCAGGCTAGCGTTCTCCCGTCTCTCAAGCCCCACCTGAATGCCGACTATTTCAGTTGTTTTTAGGGAAACAAAGTAACTAGAGCGTACCTCCTAGCAAACCTTCGTTTTCTGCCGGTCAGAATTCTGAAGATCGGCTTGAAGTCTTTAAAACAAAATGTAGTTTAAACCGTTCTTCTCTTCTGATATCCCCAAGTTTGATACTTCTTTCTCAGCAGTGTTAAACCCTCCAAGTTTACTTTTTGCAAATTTTATACTTAAATAGGGCCGTCCATTTCCTTGCAATGTTTAGGGAAGCTAACAAACAAAACCACCATAAAGAAAGGTGGGTGGGTATGCTAACACCTCCCACACCACACACCACCAACAGAGGGGTGTTCACACCCCAACCCCCAGCGTTGTACGTTCAGCTATGATTGAATTACAGAACTTTGTGAGCCGAGAGCCGATTCAGGAGTGTAGATTCACAAACCTGTAATACCCACAACGTGGGTGGGGGCAGTAGGATCAGGAGCTCAAGGTCATCCTTGGCTGCATCCCTAATTAGAGACTCCAAGACTTGTTAGAGACCTTCTCTCAAAAAAATAAGGATGGGGAAACTAGGCTAGATTATTCAAGAGGCCCTGAAGAGAGAGATGAGGAACCGCAGGAGACCAGGGAATGGAATTGTGAGGGAGCAGAGAGCCAAAGACTCATCAAAGAATATAGGTGCCCTTTTCTAAGCTTTGTATATTTATTCACTGGGGGTGGGTGCACACCAATGCTCATGTAGAGAGCAAAGGACAACTTGGAGGATTTGCCTTTTCCTTCCACTATGTGGGTTCCAGGTTGTCATGCTTAGCAGCAAGCACCTTTATCTACTGAGCCATCTCCCCAGCCCCTGAGAACTGACTCTCCCCTGGAACCTCCAAAGAGGAACAGGAGGTGTTTGACGCCTTGATTTTAAGAATTGTCTTCCAGAATGATTTGAGCAGCTCAATTTGAAGTGATTTGTTAAACTAATACAGCAAAGTAACCCCCCCCCCCCCGACTTGGAAACTATGGAGACTAAGGAGCTATGTGGCCTAGGGAAACTTGCTGTTAGGATAGCAGAAATAGCAGCCACCTGACGGCATTTGCGGTGAGGATTTGCTTTTTTGATTCCACACACTATTTCATAGACCCATGGTGTGTCAGACATCCATGCAGTCCCCTCAGAGAATGAAGCCGTGTGTGTGTGTGTGTGTGTGTGTGTGTGTGTGTGTGTGTGTGTTCACCTGTGTGTGCAAGCACCAGAGCTCCGCATGGGGTGTCTTCCTCTATCATTCTCCCGTTGAGACAGGGCCTCTGGCTGAACCATGGCCAAACTAGCCAGTGAGCTCCAGAGACCCTCCATTCCTCCCGCCCCCATCACCAGGATTACACTCACCTGCCTCACGTCTGGGTTTCTACAAGTGTGCAGGGGGTCAGAACTC